AGGTGTGTACTGGAGGGGCAGGTCTATAGAACTCAGGGGCGGGGCGTGCAGATTAGCAAGTTTTGTCCAGGTCAGCTGTAGGAGGGGATCAGAGGTGCTCAAAACTCGTGCAGAAGCTGGCCAGGTTGGAGGTGGGCAGCTGCAGCAGAGTGCAGGCTGGGGCATGCTGTTAGCAGTATAGGGGGACACTGTTCCTGCTGCCCTGGTTCCCAGAGGTGTCCATGTATCTAGGGAGGGAAATAGCACCCACAAGGTCTTTTGTTCTTGGCAAAGTCTCCCAAACGTCCCTGGCCCTCCAGCACTTGCTCTGAGATTAGCAGTCAGTGTTCTCGTAGAACCCAGCATTTTTCAGACCGTTGCTTCTATGCTATCTCAGCCTGGCTATTTGTTGTGCTGCCTCGTTAAGGCCAAGGATCCGTTTCCTCTCACCCTCCAGGCTCTCCCAGAACTGGGCTGGCTGATTTTTGAAGTTTCAGGTGTTATGCCCTGCTGATTGTAAGACCTGGTGTAATTCTGCCCCCCTCATTTTCATGCGGGTTCTCTGTGCCTGAGGCATCCCTCCCTGCTGCAGACAGTCCTGAGTCTGTTTGGATCCCAACTGCGTCTCCACCCTTCCTGCTTTGATGTGCTCTCTTCTCAGCATTTTGCTGTGGAGAGTCTGTTCGGCCAGTCTTCAGGTCACTTCCTGGGTTATTTACACTGAGGTGGGCGTTATCTAGGTGGGTCCTGGGATGAGGGGAGCTTCGGATCCTCCTACTCCACCATCTTCCCCGGAAGTCTGCTGTATTCTTTTTTATAAGTTCCCAGCTCTCTGCCAAAATTCTCAATCTTTTTTTTTTTTTTTACAGATTTGTTTCTTTGACGGAGAGAGACACAGTGACAGGGGACACAAGCAGGGGGAGTGGGAGAGGGAGAAGCAGGCTTCCCACCGAGCAGGGAGCCCGATGCGGGGCTAGATCCCAGGACCCTGGGATCAGGATCTGAGCCGAAGGCAGACTTTCAGCGACTGAGCCACCCAGGCGCCCCTTGTCGTTCTTTCATATAGTATTTTACAGTTTCTCTTTCCCCTAGTGTTCCTTTATAGTGCCTTGTCTTTTACCTTTTTAAGTTGTATGGGATGTTTTACTTGAAAATTTACGTGTAAAACGGAGGCCTAGAAATTGGTCTTATATCGTTTTCATTGGTCTTTGAGCACCTTTTCACATTCTTACTGGCCATCTATAAAGAGACTGGTCAGGGTTCTTTACCTTTTAAAAGTTGAATTATCTCTTGATTATTGATTTGTGGGAATTCATTATGTATTCCTTCACATATTTACACATCATGGATACATTCTATCAGTCTGTGGCTTGCCTTTCATTTTTTTAATGGTGAATATGAAATGGCAGATGTTTTAATATTGTTGAGGTCCAGTTTATCCCATCATTTAATTTTTTTGTTCTATATTAGGGATCTTTGCCTCTGTCAAATCCAGATATTCTATTACGTTCCTGTGGGTTTTTTTTTTTCTAGAAGTTTCATTGTTTAGCTGCTGCCTTGAGGCCTCCAAGCCACTTCAAATTACCTGTATGGTTTGATGTAGGGGTCTTTTTTTCCCCCTGTATGGAGATCTGGTTGTTAAAGCACCTTCCTTTCCACACTGAATCGCACAGACATTGGTCAGGTGGTCATATATAAGTCCGCTTCTGAACTCACGTTTTTGTCAGACTGAGCTATTTTTCATCCTAATGACAGTACTACACCCCCTTAAGTACTGCAGCTTTATACTATATGTAGTACCTAGGAGGGCACAACCTCCAACATCAGTCTTCTTCAAGAATTTAATTTTTCAAGACACCTGGGTGGGTCAGTCAGTTATGCATCTGCCTTCGGCTCAGGTCATGATCCCTGGGTCCTGGGATCGAGCCCCACACTGGGCTCCCTGCTCAGCGGGAAGCCTGCTTCTCCCTCTGCCTCTGTGGCTGTCCGTGCTTGTGCTTGCTCTCGTGCTGTCAAATAAATAAAATCTTAAAAAAAAATTGGTCCTTAATATTTCCATATACATTTTAGAAGCTTTAAGATTATTTTTATTCATTTGACAGAGAGAGGGGGGGGAGCGGGAGCAGCAGGCTTCCCGCCGAGCAGGAAGCCCGATGCGGGGCTCTATCCCAGGACCCTGGGATCATGACCTAAGCCGAAGGCAGACGTTTAACAACTGAGCCACCCAGGCGCCCCTAGAAGCCTCTTTCTACAAATTTTGATTGGGATCATATTGAGTCTGTTCTTCAACTGGGTGAAATCTGACATATTAGCAATACTAAGTGTTCCTGTGAACTTGGCATCTGTTTCACTGTGTCTTTTTTAATTTTCTCTCAGCAAACTTTGTAGGTGTTACACATCTTTTATTAAATGTATCCCTAGGTAAGTGACGTTTTCGAATATGGATATAAATTGTTCTTAAATTTCATTTTCCAGTTGTACATTGCTAGTATATAAACTCTGTATCTTGTATCCTGCCATCTTGCTACATTTGCTTGTTCTAGAAATCAGTTTTTATAGTCTTGGGTTTTCTCCAAGCACAATCTTGTCCTCTGCAAATGAGAATGGTTTTTCTTTTTCTTTTCTAGTCTATGGCTCTCTTCTTTTTCTTGCCTTGGCGGGGACTTCCCACACAGTGGGGACTAGGAGCAGGGTGAGCTATGGGGGAAGTGCATTTGGCATTCCATAGCAACGTAGGTTTGGGTGCAGGTTCCATAGAGGCCCTCACAGATGGAGGAAGCGTCCTCCAGCCTTGGCTGCTGTCCTCTCTGTGAAGGAGTGTGGAACTTCTCAGCTGCTCTTCCTGCATCTGCGGAGAGCATCACACGGGGTTGTTCCTTGCAGTGTAATTGGGGAAAGGGGCAGTGATATCCATGGGGAGCACAGCCTTGCATTTCTGGGGCTGTGCTCTTTTTACAGTTGCTTTATTAGATCTGCCTGCACTTCAGGCGTTGAAGGCTATTGGTCTGTAATCTCTGTGGCCTCAGTTTTCTGTATCATGGTCATGTTGGTCTCACCAACCATCTCCACTCACTTTCCCATTCTTGTGCTGCTTCTCCCTTTTGGGTGTGGAGAGTGGAGGGCCTGCCCTGCCATGGGCTTCTCGTCTCTGGTCCTTCCGTGGAAGCCCTGAGGTGGGGTGTGCAGTCCCTCACTGTGCCCACAGGGGTCAGGCCCCATGGGGTCCGCTTTGGCCCATGGATAGCTGGGCCATGGGGTGGCCAGGCTGTAGCTTTGGGGAGACAGGGAGGGCACTAGCTGCTTCTTGGCCCCATGCTGTCACTCTGGTATCAGCCATTAGGGGGCATCCCGTGGCAAGTCCTGAGACTATTCTCTGCTGAGGATAGAGCATCTGTGGGGATCCCTGGGGAGGCCAGCTGTTGGCAGCCACATGTGCCTTCCTCTTCTTGTCTCGTAGATGAACGCCTCTCGAGCAGCAGTGGGGACACCATGTCTGACCCCAGCGCCCAGCCCTCTAGCCACCGCGGCCATTCCTGGAACCACCCCAGCCCTGCCCATGCCAGGTACTGCCCTTTCCGGCCTACCAGCCCCACCCTGTGCCCGGCCTCTGGGCCGGTACGGAATCCTGTTCCCACCTTCAGGGTCCTGGGGGGCCTGGGCGGCCCAGGTGGGCAGCCAGAGCCCCAGCCCCAGGCTGGGCTCGGGTGCAGCAGGTGTGCCTGCACTGCCGGTGTTCTTGAGGCCACCTGTGGTCAGCGCGCCTGGCCCTAGACTGCGAATCACGTAGCTCTCCCTTACCACTCGGCGGCTGGACGCGTGGAGCTGACCAGTTGGGAGGAGCCTGGGTGGGGCTTGGCCTCTGAGTCCTGCCCCGCCTGCCCGTGGGTGCCTGGCGAGGGGGCCGGTGTGTGGGCAGCAACGCTTGCTTCCTTTACTGTGCAGACCCTGCTCCCTCTTAGGTTTCCACGGTCTACACGTGCCTCCTTTGCACCCTGTACTTGAATCGATGGTTAGAACATTGTAATCACCCTGCAGAAGTCCAGTGCCTTGAATTCCAGCTTTTCTGTTGCCTGATAGAAAGAGATGTTAAAAAAAAAAAATCACTTGTTGAAAAAACTGTATTTCATTTTGATAACTGGCTTGTGCATTGATATATGGCCCATTTTACACTGCAGATACGAATGGTTTATAAATCTGAAGCTAAAGCCTGACTTTAGATTTCTGTTGTACATGAGGTCTCCCTGGGCTGCTCCAGTCCCTGAGAGCAGACAGACGGACACCCCCTGCCCCCAGCGGCAGTGCTCTGGGTGCTGCCAGCAAGCCACCCAGGGATGTGTGCTTCCTGGGACAGCGTGTTGCTGGCAGCAGGTCTCTCAATAAGGAACGTGAGCAGCTGTGTTTGGCTGTGCAGAACCTGCTGTAAAGTGCTAGACGAGCAGACACACCCTCTTGACCCAAAGCTTGCGGGGTGCAGGCAGGCCCCCCACCCTGCAGAGCCCGCACGGCGCCCTAAGCTCGGGTTCTGCTGACCCTCCTGCCCACTGTGCTCCCTTTTCCATCATTTCTGCAGAGGCCTGTGTGCATGCAGGTTGCCCTGCCTGGGCTGGGAGAACCCCTCTCCTGGAGGTTTTGGTGGGACTTCTCCCAGACGGGCACCGCCCCGCCCCAGGGGGAGCTGCAGTCCCTGTTCCTCATGGCCACGGTGTTTCCCGCGTCCCCTCCGAAGGCAGCTGCCCTCGGCGGCCTAGTTGTGAACTGTATAGTTCTGCTGTACCGTGGGACCGCACGAGGACTGGCTAAATGATTTTAAGTGTATCATTCCACCAATTCAGTTAGAATTGAGTTTTCTGAGTGATTAGGCAGTCTTCTGCTAAGGCACGATGATGTAATAAGAGATTTCTGTTCTCTGTAACGTGCCCTTGGTCCCTTGGTGGAGAATTCCATGCACCTGGTTCCTGAGGGTGGTGGGAGCCACCTTCTCCTGCTCTCCCCATCTCCCCACTGCACCAGAGGTGAGATCTGGGATTCTGGCCTCGTACATGTATGGTCAGTGGCACGGAATCCCCAAGAGATTGTATATATGAAGGAGAAAAATAAACATTTTTGCTTGAAAACAGTGTGGAACAACATCTTTTCCTTACTCTCTGCCCATGTAAAAGCTGAAGCAGCCAGGCTCCCAGGCTGTCCTGGTCACAGCCTCACACTCAGCTCCTCACCTACTGTGGACACTGTGCCCACGAGGCCGGGGTGGCTGTGAAGAGCCTATAGATTAGATTGAATGGTGGGTGCTGTCTCCCCAGCAGGAGCCATAGGTGGATGCTGAGCTGATTGATTGGGGATGAAAGTGGGGTGTTAGGTGGGACCCCGCATTTTCTGCACATGGTGCTCACCAGCTGTGGCCTGGGACCTGAGGACCCAGCTCTGCTGCCCCTGGGCCTGTATGCTCAGCTTCCTGCCACTCTGGACTTGAACTACATTTAGACCTACAGTGGGCTCTTCCCCATGGAGGGTTTGAATCTCACGGGCAACTAAAAGGTGCCTCTGACCCCTGTCCACGTTGGCTGACTTGCACAAAGCCAGGCTAGCAGACCTGGGGCGAGGTGAGCTCCTTTGTGCCTTCTCCTGGATCCGCACTGGGCTTACAGAGGACATGAAGGTTGGAGCAGGTTCAAGTCTGGGGAGGGCCCTAGCGGCACTCGGTACCTGTCTGCTGCCGACCCACCCTCAATGGCATCACGCTCAGTGGTCTGTGCTCCTGCCCACACCCTGTACACACTCATGCTGGGGTTTGTGGTGCCTCCTGGCCCAGCCAGCTGAGAGGCAGTCAGGCTTTATGCCCATGCTCTTGGAAGGAGGGGACCCCCTTTTCAGAACCAGTGCAGACCCCATGGCCCCATTTGGTGCCTCATCTAAGCACTGGCCCTGGGCAGAGCTGAGCCATCTCAGGGCAGCTGCTGCAAACGTGCAGGTGCCGGGAGGCCCTGCCTGGTCCTGGGCAGTGGCCCGTGCAGAAGCTGGCCCGATGGCAGAGGCTGCCTGGGGTCTGCCTACACAGTGTGGGGACCACGGGCCACCGGCTCCCCACGGAATATGACTGTGCTGGCAACGCTGTTCCACCTTCCAGGGCCTTGTGTGACCGAGCTGGGCCTGTAATGAGCTGTGGCGGTTTTGTTTTCTAGATTCTGAGAGTGAGAAGCCCGACTGAGCCCAGGCAGGCCAGCCCGACCCCGACGCCAGGCCCCGTGTCGTCACACGTGGAGAAGGCGAGTCCACGCCTCGTGTCCAGTTCACGCTGTTTTGTAACCACTTTCTAAGCATTTTTTACTCACAACTGGAAACACAAACATAATACAAGAATAAAGAATATTTTGGGGGAAAAGGGACTTTGGTTTTTCAAGCTCTGTCCTGTCTGGTGGCCTGAGGCAGTAGGAAGCGAGTGAGGGGTGCTGGAGCATGTTCTGGGACCACGCAGCAGGACAAGGTCTGGGGGCACCCTTGGCCGAGGGGTTCCCGGTGTGGTGGGGAACTTGTGCGATTACGTGGCACATTACAGTGCACCTGTTAGCCCAGGATCCTCAGGTTGGGACAGCAGCAGGCACAGGCTGGGCAGGTGATGCTCAGAAGCAGCCGAGGCTGAGGATCGATTTCAGGCACCCTCCCCATCACACCGGGGCAGCCCTGGTCTCTGGTAGCACCAGCCCCTGGGAGGCCAAGCAGCAGCGCCCATCTGAGGTGACAACCCTCCACCTGTCCACATTTGGGCCTTGGCGCACACAGCTCCATTCATTTTGCTGACGTGGGGGCTCCCCTGCTCTGTGTCTCTGAAGCTTGACACCCACGCTCTGGGCACAGGGCAGCCACCACAGCCTAAGACCTGTGGCTATGGTGGATGGCAGGGCCAGGCTGCTGGCCCCGGCAGGGCTGTACCCCCAAAAGAAAAATGGGAAGCCTACAAGCAGCCTCACAGAGACATGCGGTAGAAGAACTGCCATGTGGCCTGGCCCAGGGGGTGGGGGCTCACCCTGGAGCGCAGCTCAGGGGTCCCACTCATCAGGATGAGAAATTAGAGCTTTGTTGTCATTAATCTTGGATGGCAACCCAGCGCTTCCTTCAGTGGTGAATGGAGGGCAGGGCCAGCAGCACCTGGGGCGTGCCACTGCCAGAGCCCCAGACGCTGCAGAGGACATGCAATTGTCAGGTGATCTACATTCAACGTGACAAAATAACAGCCTGAGACGCAACTCCTGTCCAACTGGATGATAAAAGCAGAGCAGCTCGGGCTTTGCAGGGGACGTGCACATGTGGTTTGGGGACATTCGTGAGGACTGTTCACCCCAACGCTCTCCAGCTCTGCATGCCACTGCTCAAGTGCCACTGCTCAACCCTGCCCTAGCACATGTCTGGGCCTCAGTCCCTGCTCTGTGATGGAACAAAGGAGGCAAGCGCGCAGCCAGACGGAACGACATCCTGTGTTTTCGTGTTCTCTTTGTCCCCGTCTGTGGCTGTTCCTAGTTTTTTCCTGGCGGTACTAATGCACAGTTTACCTTTTCATCCTTTTAAGCAAGTAATAGTGTAAATACTAACGGTAAATATGATGAGGGCAGAAGGCTGGAGGCCCAACGGGCTCGTACACAGTCCCAACAGCACCTGGACACAAGGACCTGGGGGGCCCAAGAGTTCCTTCCGAATCTGAGTAGACAGCACCCAGATTCCTTTCCGTGGGTGATGGATCTGGGCCAGGGAGACTGGGATGGAACACCTATTCACACCACAGCTCAGGTGAGGGCTTACCCACTTCCCCTAATCGGCATCCCCTACTTCCTGGGACCCCGAGAAGCAGTATCTGCCCTACTCCCACTCTGGGAATATTAGGGTCCTTCCTGCAAAGGGGGACTGTCCTCTTGAAGCAGCTCTCGATTGCCATGTTGCTCGGCACAGGTGGAGTGATAGGCTGGTGACGGTCATGGGCAAGCTGCCACCCAAGGGGGGCCCTGCACACCCAGCAGGTCTCCGGAACCCCCAGGGTAAGCCCCAATCCCCCATCTCAGAGTCTAAGATTCCCTGTGCTGCCTGTGCTGGCCTCCCCCAAGATGTGCCCCTGCTTCGGACATGGCTGGCTGGGCACCTCTGCCCACCCGCTGCTGCCCACCCTCCCAAGGGCCCCTCATTCCCCTGCTGCTCCAGCACTCCTCTCGGGCCCTCTCATGCCCTCAGGATCTCCCCTGAGTTCTGTCGCAAGGCTGGTGGGAACCACTCACCAGACCCCACGAGGGGGTCCTATCTATGTATCTCACTTGTCACACTTGGCTTCAAGCCTCTCAAGGGAGAACTCAAGCGCATCCCAGAACAGTCCTCAGCATAGTGGTTGCACGGTGAGCTGTGGCTGAAAGCCAAACCCTCCTTTGGGCAGAAGCCTGCGGCTGTGGCTACTCATCACTATTTACAGGATTTCTGGACTGGAACGCACCTGCCCCGCACCTGGTGCCTTCCCAGAGCCGCCGGGCCCAGCCCAGGCTCTCCCAGAACAGGGATGGCACCACTGTCCAGGTTCACCCAAGCTCTTCCCACGGGGCCAGGCGCTGAGCTGCAAACTCTGCTCCCAATTCTCACTCTGCCCTAGAGAGCTCCCCCAGCCCGCTCTCCTGCAGTGCCTCCCGTGGTCTGTGTGCATCCGCTCCGGGTTGAAGAGCTTAAGTTCTGAAACGTGCATCTTATTAAAGGGCTGGTTGGTTCTCTATGACCTGGGAAAACCCAGTAAAACAAAAGAAAGCATCCCCCAGGGTTCCAAGCACCCTGGCTATGCCATTCTAGCACTACATTTCTAGGTCATAAATAATTCTGTAGTCTAGCCTGGGAGTCAAGCCTTATTTTTTTCGGGAAGCAGTGTGTCTCAGGCTGCCATCCCAGAATGCCAGATGGGGCAGCTTAAACAACTTACATACATTTCCCCCAGTTCTGGAGTCTGGAGTCTAAGATCAAGGACGGGCAGGCCTGGTTTCTCCTGAGTCCTCTTCTCTGGTGTGTGTGTGTGTCTGACCTCTTGCCTGGGGTCACCTGGCCTCTGTGTGTGCATGTGGCAAGAGTGCATAAGCTCTGCTCTCTCCTTCTAATAATGGCATTAATCCTCTCCGATCAGGGCCCCACCCAAAAGGCTGCACTGGACCTTAATTACCCCCATAAAGGCCCTCTCCCCAGTGCAACCATCAACATATGAATATTAGAAACATACACATTCAGTTGGGGACACATGCCTTATTAAATCGTTTTGATACACAATCCATTTGTACAATGTAAACTGTATACTTGTCTCTACTTGCACACACATATTTTAAAACTAAGTAAATACCAACTTGGTGCGCATGCACACGCACACACGCACAGGAAGAAGAGTGGGGGTCAAGACCTAATTCTGGCAGAAAACTGAAAGGAATGATCCACTGCTCCCTTTGCTGGGCCCCACATGAGCCATAGGGAGATGGGGCTGAGCATCCCTCCCCGATCCTAAAGCATCATCATCATGAACAGAAGGACAGTGGTCAGTGGTGAACACACAAGGCCAGCTGTGCAGGGCTGGTCAGCACACCAACACTGAGGACATAAAGCTCCTGGTTTAGAACTCAAACACACAGAACCACAAAAGAGAGGGAAAGGGGAACAAAGAACAGATGAGTTAAAGATAAATCAAATTACAAGATGAGATGCCTAACTATATCTACAGACACATTTTATAATGGTATGTAAATGGTCTGATCACTTTAATGAAAAGAAACTGTCAGATTTTAAAAACCAACTACATGTTGCACACAACAAACCTATTTATAAATAAAGACACATAGCTAAGGTAAAAGGATTGACCAAAATATACCATCCTAACATCAATCAATGGAGTGACTATTAATATCCAGGAATGCAAATTTCAGAGCAAAGCTTTTTATGAGGACAAAGATGATCATTTCATAATAAAAAGGGGTCAACTCATCAAGAAAACACACAATTCAAAACGTTTATGCTCCCAATAACAGAGTTTCAAAATATATGAGGAAAACACAACTGCAAAGAGAAATGGACAAATCCACAATCACAGTCTGATATTTCAATGTCCCTCTCTCAACTGATAAAATAAAAAACCACTGTAATAAAGTATGACCCCATTCTGACATATGACTGCTGACAATTTTTAAGCCCTATCCTCCCTCTTCCCCTTCTGGGCACACCTGGACAGCAGATGAGAAGCTCAGGTGCTCCCTCCCTTGGCACCATGGGAAATTCACACCAGTAGTGTAAGCCCTCATTCCGGCCCTACCCCCTAACCACTGTCAAAATCCCAAGCCAGACTTCCAAGGAAGATGGCAGAGCAAGAGGATCCTGGGTTCACCTCATCCCAGGATACACCTAGATAACACCCACGTGAGTGTAAATAACCAAGAAAATTACCTGAAGACCATCACAGCTAAATGCAGAGAAGAGGCCACAATGAAGGGGGTAGGAAGGGCAGAGATGTGGTCAGGAGCCAAAAGGACCCACAGGATGGAGGGATGCCTTGGGAGGGGAGAGGAGCAGATCCTACAGCAGGCACCCCAGGCTTGGGGGACCCACAAGAGGAATATGAATACCCATAACACTGGCTTAGAAAACCACAGGAGACTAACTTCATGAGTTCTTACAATCCATGGGGCTTAACACCTGGAAATTAAAAAATCAGCGAGATCAGCTCTGGTAGACCCGGAGGGCACCATGTGCACTATCCCTGCATTCTCCTTTGGACCTGCCCCTCCAGTACACACCTGGCCAGAACCCATCCAAAGCAGCACCACAAGCCTGGCAGTGTGCAAGCAGCGCTGACAGGGGCCGACACCACTCCAGAGTGACTCCTGCCCAGGGAGAGGGGACGATAACCACACACCGCAGTCCAGCTACGGCCCCAGCCCTGGACCCAGAGCAGACGTCTGGTCTGGCTGGACTTTAGCACCCTACTAACTTCAATGGAGAGATCATCCACACAGAAAATCAACAAGGAATCAGTGGCTCTGAATGACAGACTGGACCAGATGGATCCAACAGATATATTCAGAACAACCCACCCCCAAACAGCAGCATACACATTCTTTTCAAGTGCACTCAGAGCATCCTCCAGAACAGACCATATATTAGGCCACAAGACAAGTCTCAACAATTACAGAAGACTGAAGTCATGCCATGAATCTTTTTTGACTACAACAGTATGAAAGTAGAAATCAACCAGAAGTAAAAAATCTGGAAAGAACACAAATATGTAGAGACTATAAACAACATGCTACTAAACAATGAATGAATGGGTCAACCAAGAAATCAAAGAGGAAATAAAAAAGTACATGGAGACCAATGAAAATGAAAACACAA